AAAAGAGTCGTTCCCAACCCTATACATTTACAGGGAGTGAATTGAGTTTTTACTAAGGTTTTTTGAGCTAATGCTTATTAATCATTAAGTGTTTATACTCCCAACATTCCACCAAATTGTATCCATATATTCCTTGTTTTAAAGGAAATAAAACTAATATACACTGAATATACATACGCAGGTTACACACACACACACACACACACACACACACACACACACACACACACACACACACACACACAGAGAGAGAGATATACCTACAAAATAATTTGAATCTTTTGTCAGTGTGTTTAAGCTTCACGTATCTGAAAGGGTGACACTGAATGCATCATGTAAGTTATCAGTGGCCGTGTAGATACTCTAACTGGGTATTTGAAAATATCCGTGACAAGCATTTTAAAGCATTTTAAAACTGAAAATAGGTCAAGAATTGTATTTCTGATAAGACATTAACAAGGGGTATTTATTCGATTTCACAAGAAAAGATAAACCTGAAATTGGTTCAGTTCAACAAGACAAACAGTAGTGAAAAGGGTTATATATGAAAATAATTATGACAATAGATAAAGATAATGTTTGATTTATGATTGGTGCATATCTTTATTGGCACAGGCCCTAGATCAGTAGTTCTCTGTCTGCCATATCTAATCCTAAACCACTGTCAGTCGCTTGGATTACATGTTTATCTTCTGCAAATCTTGATCTTTTCCAGCTATGTTTCCAAAGAGAACCAGAACATGGCATTGTTTGTAAAAAAAAAAATACTATTTAAGGGTGTTAAATGTTTCTGTGAAAATTACACTTCATCTGCGCATAGAGACAAATTACCACCTGGCTTTGATACAATATAGCTAATTCATTTTTTATATATTTAAAATGCTGTTAAGGATGATTTCAAAGGACAAGACAAAAAAAATCAATTTAAGCAAGAAAATCTTAGCAAGAACTATAGGTGCATCTTAATTTACAGATAGTAAGCATAATGACTCAGGAAACCCTAAAAAAAAAATGTAAACACACATGTGTGTATGTGTGCCTTATCTATGTGACCACAAGTTCATTTGCAGTAGGATCCATGATAAATCCTCAAATCACTGATAGCAGATGTCCTCTAAAGACTTTATTTTGGCAATAAGAACCGTGTGTTGAGTGCAGTTAGCTGTAATACAATATGTGGGAGAATGAATTTTTAAATTTTTGTGTCATTAGTTTACTTTGTGTTTTGCCCAAAAACAATCTCACTGTAATCGCAAAATACAGCTCAGTTAGTTCCGAGAAAAGGCTCTTGAATCTGAAATGAGTCCAAATAATTGTTTGGGCTTCTGTATATCGAGAGAGGTAAAAGTTGCTGGTACTTTGCTGTATTGTTTGAGTTAAAGAGGGAGCTGTGTGTGTGTGTGTGTGTGTGTGTGTGTGTGTGTGTGTGTGTGTGCGTGCGTGCGTGTGTGTGTGCGTGCGTGTGTGTGTGTGTGTGTGTGTGCGTGTGTGTGTGTGTGTGTGTGCGTGTGTGTGTGTGTGTGTGTGTGTGTGTGTGTGTGTGTGTGTGTGTGTGTGTGTGTGTGTGTGTGTGAGAGAGGGTTTACCAGGCCAGGCCAGGCCAAACACACAATGTTATGGGGACAAAGATGCCAATATCCGAAATCTTTGACCTTTGATAATCTTTGATATTTTTTGGTCCCCATGAGGAAAAAGGATATATATATATACAGTACTGTGCAAAAGTCTTGGGCACGCTAATATTTTTTGCCCAAAAAAATATTTTTAAACCTGTTATTTGTATCTTTTGCTATAGTGTGTCAGTAGGAAATATCAGTTTACATTCTCAAACATTAATTTTGCCATAAATTGTAATAATCCAGTGAGATTTTTGTATGCACAAGGAGTCTGACAACAGCCGGGTATGATCCACATCTGATCTCACCATCATCGAGTCTGTTTGTGCTTACATGAAGAAACAGAAAAAATCCAAAAGAACTGTGGCAACGTCTCCAAGACGCTTGAAGAAGCCTTCCTGCAAAGCTTTTTAGGCATTTGAGTAAAAATGCTGTAAAGTGAGGATGCTTTCAGAAATAATGTCACATTATTTAGTGTGAACACCCTTTGTGTTTGAAACAGCTGTTGTCCAGGTACACTTGCACATAGTTCGTCAGGTAGCTTTGCAGGAAGGTCTCTTCAAGCGCCTTGGAGACGCAGTTTTTCTGGATTCAGTCTGTCTCAGTTTTTTCTGTTTCTTCATGTGATCCCAGATGGGCTCGATGATGGTGAGATCAGATCTCTGTGTGGATCATATACCAGCTGTTGTCAGACTCCTTGTGCATACAAAAATCTCACTGGATTATTACAAATAATGTAAAAATTTATATTTGGAAATGTAAACTGTTATTTCCAAATTCCAACGCTATATCTCACGATCAAAAGTGAGTACGAGGTGGCTAATTCGTATGAATTCATACGACCCCCCTAGTGGGAAAAAAGTATACTTTACTGTATTTGAAATATATTCCCTTTTTCAATAGAACATTGCAAATATACTAACGAAATTTTTACTATCTTTAAATATATTAAAAGTATATTAGCATCATGCTTTTACCTATTTTCACAATACGACTTTGAACACACTTTAAAATAATTGTACTTTAGTATATTTTCTAAAAATATATTTTAGAAAAATATACTTGAAGTGAAAATTCAGTTTATTTTTTAAAAGCGTATTTATTTGCACTTTATTAAAAATATATTTTAACTGTGTGCTGGAAATGATCATTGTCACAATGCATTGAAAGTATACTTTCAAAATACACCATAGTATTTTGTACAAAGTATAGCTAAGTTTTATTTGTCTAATAATGTACATTTGTTATTGAAGACAAAGTATGCAATTTGAAGTATCTGGAATAAGCCAAAGGTATCCCGTCCTTCGGAGGAGACGTTAAACTGAGGTCCTGACTCTCTGTGGTCATTAAAAATCCCAGGATGTCTTTCGAAAAAGAGTAGGGGTGTAACCCCGGCATCCTGGCCAAATTTGCCCCTTGGCCTCTGTCCATCATGGCCTCCTAATCCTCCCCATACTCTGATTGGCTTCATCACTGTCTCCTCTCCACCAGTAAGCTGGTGTGTGGTGAGCGTTCTGGCGCACTATGGCTGCCGTCGCATCATCCAGGTCGATGCTGCACACTGGTGGTGGTTGAGGAGATTCCCCCCTTCCATGTAAAGCGCTTTGAGTACCCAGAAAAGCGCTATATAAATGTATCGAATTATAATGATAATTATTAATGAGCCTCTACTTTTTACTCAAATATATCACACTATGATAGCCTTGTGGGCAAGTGCGCCGGCATGTGCTTCGGGAGACCCGAGTTCGAGTCCTGGCTCCTGGACCTTTCCTGATCCCGTTCCCCCACCTCACTTCCTGTCTAGCTACTGTCCTATCCTAATAAAAGGCGAAAACGCTGAAATATTGTTTTTAAAAAATAAAAAATATATATAAATACACTTATGGTATATTGCTTGTATGTTTCCAAGACACTCGTAATGTACTTGTAACACAAATAAAGTACACTTTAATATCACTTATCAAGCATGTAATTAGTCCTTACACATGCATATTGTAATGATGTGGAGGACGCAGAAGAATCCATTTGCAGCTTTATTAGAATGGTCAACAGGCAGGGTAAATCAGGGGCAGACAGAACAACGGAGATAACCTCAGAGCAGAAGTGGATGACAAGCAAGGGTCGAGGCAGGCGGCAGAAGAATCAGAAGTCGGTAGAAACAATCCAAGGTCAGTAACAGGTCAGCAAACACAGGGAAAACGCTCAGAAATTGTACGCCGGGGCAATGCAATACTTCGCAATGAACTTGAGAGTGAACGGGGTTTATATGGGTGAGTGTGGATGAGCTGCAGGTGTTTGTGTAATCAGTCCCAGGTAAGCAGCATGATGGGATGTTGAGTTTGTGATGGTTAATATTCTGGTGAAAGTGTCCTACAGTGTAGTGGAAGCCTGCTCTGTAACACGTATACTTGAAGTTGGTCCAATTTAGTACACAAAAGTACACTAAAAACATTTAAAATGATGTTTTACTACAATTTAATTACAACTAAAATATACTTAGTACAAAATTTGTTGTTTCAAAATAGCACACTTCAAGTTAACTACTCATTAACACACATGAAGTATACTGATAATTAGTCTGGCTGCAAGTATTTTTTTCACCAGGTCTAAACCCCAGTGTTGGGTAGGTTTAGGGGCGTGGTCAAGGGTAGGTAATTCGTAACCTCGTAAAATGACTACGAATTGCCGTGAGATGGTTGGATATTTCCTACTGACACACTACAGCAAAAGATATAAATAACTCGCTTAAAAATATTTCTTTGGTGCAAAAATAGTAGTGTGCTTAAGACTTTTGCACAGTACTGTATATATATATATATATATTTTTTTTTTTTTTTATGTAACAATGCAGAAAGTAATATGTGATGGATAGGTTTAGTGCTAAGGGAACCGAATATAAGGTTTGCACAGTATAAAACCATCATATCTATGGAAAGTTCCCCTAAAACATGAAAACCCAACACACCCATCCCACTACTGAAAATCACATCCAGTATTTCTTTGACTAGGAAAAACCGCCCAGCCAAAAGTGTGGCCACACCGGAATGAATTCATGTTTCTCATGGTCTTGAAAATTCAGTGTCCAGAGCTGTAATCTGAAATACATAATTTCCAAATGATGAAATTACTAATATTCTTTTTATAGTTTAGCTGCTCATAGCACTCATATCAGCTGGAAATTGATGTTTAAATAAGCTCAGATCATGCCCTTCTCTGAGATACTTAAAGTGTCAATGAAACGAGAGTTAAGAAGCAGGGGAAAAAAACTAAAGATGTCTCATTAATTTCGCCTGCCTTTTTTCTTCTCTCTCACTCACTCTTTCTGCTCCTGAAGCTTAAACCCGCCTCCTGTTTCATTAGCAGGACCTGCCCTATAAATACTCTCTTTTGGCAGAGAAACGTACTTAGTGCCCACAGAAACCCTCTCCCTCACACAGCTGAGAGTGCCCAGAGCTGCCAGTCATGAAGGAGCTGAAGAGCAAGGCGTTCTGGAGGGCTGTTTTGGCTGAGCTGGTCGGCATGACCCTCTTCATCTTCCTGAGCATTACAGCTGCAGTTGGAAACACCAACAATGACAAACCAGACCAGGAGGTCAAGGTGGCACTTGCATTCGGGTTGGCCATTGCCACTCTTGCCCAAAGCCTGGGTCACATCAGTGGAGCTCACCTGAATCCAGCTGTGACGCTGGGCTTGCTGGCCAGCTGTCAGATCAGCTTGCTGAAGGCTGTGATGTATATCGTGGCCCAGATGTTCGGTGCAGCGTTGGCGAGTGGCATCGTGTATGGCGTCACGAAAGGGGACACCCTGGGGCTGAACACGGTGAGTGAGCGGATCCTTCTTATCTCTGCGAAGTCACCTGTTCTTCTGAGCCTCTCGGTTCCAGTGCAGTTTACTTACAGCTTTCAACTGTCTTTACTGGAATAAGCCAAGAAATGGATTCAATTTGTTTTAATTTCATGAATTAATAAATAGTTGCAAGGAAAGGAGGACACATTTTGAATTTTGGGTAACACATTATTTTAACATTGTCCTTGTTACATATGTTACATGTACTTACCATAGTAATAACAATGCATAATTACATGCAACTTACCCTCAACCAAACCCTAACCCCATAGTAAGTACATGTTGTTAATTGATAGTACTCTGTACTTAAATATTTTTTTATTTTTGAATAAATCACTTTATTTTAAGGAGACATTGTTACAGTGTAATTATATATTTAAGAACTAACTAATAATTATGTACTTACTATATAGGGTTAGGGTAGGATTAGAGTTTGGTTCAGGGATAGTTGCATGTAATTATGCATAATTTACTGTTATTGCTATGGTAAGTACATGTAAGTAACAAAGACACTGTAAAATAAAGTGTTACCCAAAATTCAAAATCTGTCCTTCTTTCCTTGTAATAAACTATGTGTAACTTGTAAATGCATAATTTACTGTTATTGCTATGGTAAGTACATGTAAAATTTGTAACAATGTCACTGTAAAATATAGTGTTACCTAAATGAGTTTTTTTTACTATTTTAAGTCAAGTCAAAATTATGAACAAATCATTATGGGTGAATCCAACAGAAGTCATTTTAAGGTTCAAATAACAAAAACAAAAAAAATCCCACTTTTTTCTGTATACTGAAAGTCATTTACTACTCTGGTTTAAATTACAGTATATATTAAAATGTTAGAAATGTACTTAATAACAGTTGGTAAACAGAGAAAAACCCACACGTTAGAATCCGTCTCTATGAATGGGCGTGTGGGCAGGCAAGATCTGATGATAAACTTATCATGTCTGTTCAGAAGCAGCGTTCTTTCCAGTGAATATCATTTCTGAACATTTCAAGAAGGCGTAATGTACTTACAGTATTTGCTTTGCTAAAGCTGCTGGCTGTCAATGTCATGTTGTTATTGCTGAGTGACATCAGAGCGCTGTCCTCTGACCTAAAAACTATGTCTCACTAAATTACCTCTTGCTTATACGTCATAAAATGAGTCTCTGAGCGTTTCTTCTGCTTTAAGTTATATATATATATATATATATATATAATTGTGATGTCCATGCATTTAAATAAAGTATTATAAATAAAACTTTTACTACATACATTTTTTTTTTTTTTTTTTTTACTACAGATCAACAGCGACATCTCTGCAGGTCAAGGTGTTGGTATTGAACTCTTCGCTACCTTCCAGCTAGTGTTGTGTGTCTTAGCAACCACAGACAAAAGAAGGCGGGACGTGTCAGGCTCCGCCCCTCTGGCCATCGGCCTCAGCGTTTGCCTGGGACATTTGACAGCCGTGAGTAATCAGCATTCAGACATCTACTGCTACTTTTTCTTTGCATGAGCATTCCTGTAACTGTTGTAAATATTGCCAGGGTTACCATATGAATATATAAAGCAACATCACACAAATAGAGCTATGTTTAGCTATGTAAATCAGTTTCTGCTTTAGGAAAAATTAAAATAAAGTGGCCCGAGCAATACAAATTGTTTTGCGCTCAATCTCCCAAGACTCCCAACATTGTCTCCATCCTCTTTTGTTTGTCTTTGTGTAGATCAGTTTCACGGGATGTGGAATCAATCCAGCTCGATCCTTTGGTCCGGCAGTAATTCTGAGAGATTTTACCAACCACTGGGTAAAATTATATTTCTGTTTTCACCTTTGCAAATTAACACATGCTATCCGAACATATCCAGAGAATGCAGATGTTAATTGTAAACCGCTCAGGATCTTATCAGAAGACAGAATCAGCTAATGTTGAACTTTTATAGTTAATGAGTAACAATCATATTGTTTTAGATGAATGGCTAGTCAAGAATAATCTATAGTTAACTTAGTTAACTCACATGTTTGTGTATTGTTTGCTAAAGGTTTCTTAGTGTACTTAGGGTCGCAGATAGCACATGGCAGAGACGACTATTTAAAGTGCATGTTTTCATCCGGTATTTTACCTCAGATGTAGAGAGTTTGCTCATCTTCTATTTAATGTTGACTAGAAATGTCTTTTAAGATGTTTATCAGATGTGTATGTGCTTCCTAGGGTTAGTGATATGAACAAACCGCTTACCTGAAGGATGTTTGTTATGGACATGAATGAAACCTTAAAATTTGTGGCTTGTTGAGAAGAGATGTGCTATTAAGAAAATCTGATACATCTAAATATATATATATATATATAAATAGCGCTTTATACAATACAGATTGTTTCAAAGCAGCTTTATAGTGATAACAGGAAAATAATGCATTTCGGCTGTTGTTCAGCTGAAGTTAGTTCAGTGTTGATTCAGTTCAGGTGCGAAGATCATCAATTATTAAATAAGTTCATTTCATCTATAAAGCAGTTCTGCGAAAACTTGTCATCGCTCAGTTCAGTTCAGTTCTCATACAACAGCGTCAGTGCAGTCAGATCAATAATATCGTTGAATATTAAGTGTCCTCAACTAAGCAAGCCAGATCGGCGAGAGTGGCAAGGAACTAAAACTCCATCAGTGACAGAATGGAGGAAAAAACCTTGGGAGAAACCAGGAAACTCAGTCGCTCAGTTCTCCTCTGGCCAACGAACGAACAGTGTGTGATTATGATTCAGGCTGCATTACTGATTACACTGCATACTTACATTTGAGTTGAACTTGAGTCATATTTGGGCACCAGAAAAACAAGGATATGCAACCAATCTCTAGCATCGACAACAAATCAGAAACAGCGTAGCACTGGCAAGCAGATGTTGTTTATATGATATTACAACGCTATCTCACGACCAATTCGTCCGAATTTGACGAGTGATTAAAAGATGGCTCATTCGTACGAATTTGTACGATTTGTCTAAACCCACGTGATGGGTAGGTTTAGGGGCGGGGTCAGGGGTAGGTCATTCGTACGAATTCATACGAATTGGGCAATTCGTCAAATATGTACGTTTTAGCAATAATCGTACTAATTCGTACGAGTGAGGTCGTACGAAATGTTACGAATTAGCCATCTTTTAATCACTCGTCAAATTCGGACGAATTGGTCGTGAGATCGGGTTGGATATTACCATGAGATGTCCTTCCATAAACGCAAATATATTAATTCATTTGTATACTGTTCCTAAAGGATGTTTGAAATGATTTCTACGCTGTTTCCAGGTGTACTGGGTAGGCCCTATGTGTGGCGGTGTGGCAGCCGCGCTGGTCTATGACTTTCTGCTCTTCCCTAAACTGGACGACTTCCCTGAGCGCGTGCGAGTGCTGGTCTCCGGCCCAAACACAGACTATGAGGTCAACGGTACCGACGACCCCCCTGCTGTAGAGATGTCTTCAAAGTGATACGAGACTCGGCATATTTAGTGAATGATATTCTAAACCACTAAATATCTGTAAATATATCCTTTTTTTCCCCTACAGGGAAATAGCATTCATTTCAAATTTACTATATGACAGTGTGGAGTTGTAAATGTCAAACCATTTATGTAGTTGCTCAAAAGGACAGTTAGCATTTTGTATTGACTGATTCGAGTTTTGTATTAATGTTTTTACTCTTATTTAGTGAAACAGTATGTACCTCAGGAAAATTATACAGTTTTTCACTTTTTTTTTTTTTTTATTTCACATATAAGCTTCCAAAATTTAGATTCACTTTTTGTGAACTTTTTTTCCACATTGTATTGTATTATGTGTACACTATGATGATGTTTTTTGTAATTAAACTTCAGGATGTTTAATCTAAAATAGAAGATGTTTTTCTTCAAATTACTAATGAAAGCTTTGAATATTAGTTGAGATTTTCCATTTGAACTGAACTTTTGTACTACATATCAATCAAATATATCAATCTCGATAAGATTTTTTTGAATCAATAATGTATTTCTTGGGGTGTAATATTTTTGAACAAGCCTGCTGTGTTTTAAAATGTGAGCGACCGTCACACAATCCTCTGACTGTAAAACAAAACTGAACCCAAGTGCAGTTTATTTTACAGATAGTGACAGAGATACAAAATAAACACAACCAAACTTAGACTACACTTGAACTATGAACCTGAACCATGATAATAGAAACTCACTGACAGTGAAAAAACTCAAACAAAGCTCAACAAGGTGCTAGGGAAACAAGACGGCTGTAAATACAAGGGCTAACAAGACACCGGTGGGAACAATCAGGAAATCACAAAGGGGAAACAGGAAAAGGAACAGGAAATACAACTACTAAATTAGAGACTAGATAACAAAAAAAAGCAAATTTCAATATCAAGTTTTTATATATTTTTTTAGTGTGCCATCTTAAATGTTTAACATTTGGCAGTTTTAATATATGTACTATAATTAGTCGATAAGAAATTTTGTTTCTTTTACTGCTTATTCAAAAGTGCTAAATTATTTTTAAAAATGCACATCTGTGATGTATGGCAAGCTGTTGAATATTGTGTGATTTGTAAGTCACCTCGAAAAGCATCTGCTAAGTGAATAAGGCCTGGTTTCACAAACAGGGTTTAGAATAAGCCAGGATTAGGCCTTAGTTCAATTAGGACATTTAAATAGCTTTTATAAACGTGCCTTAGAAAAAAAAACATTACTGATGTGCATCTGATCAATGGCACTGACATATTTTAAGATATACTGTATCAGTGTACGTTGCTTTCAGTTAAAACAGCATTTTAGTCTGAGACTAGGCTTAAGCATTGTCTGTGAAAGCAGGGGTAAATGTATTAAACCTTCTCTACTTATACTACAGATTAAAGGTCTTTCATCGCTTTTTCACATTACAGAGTAATTGAAAAAAATCTAAATATGGTTTCTGTGGGCAAAGTTCAGACACTTAACATATATTTAGCTCAGCTTGTACAACAGATCCATCCATCGATCTTCCAGTGCTGGGAATGTTGGAGCCTGTCCAACGTCTCCAATATAAGCCAAGTTTTTTAAATGTTTTAAATTTTAAAATGTTATTTTATTTAACACACGGAGGTGTTAGACAATAGTATTTTTTAAATATGTGATTACTTTACATATAAGCAAAATGGCATAAGTGTGGTTTATGACTGCGAGCAGTGAGCTTAGATATAACTGGTTACTACAGAGCTAATTGATCATTGTTTTTGGGTGTAAAAATGAATAGAACTGTTGTTTAGAGAAAACTGACTTTTGGCATCATGCATGATAATGCGAACCTGTTTCATAAAATGACCTTTAACCTTAACAGCTTGGTCTAGCTGTTTAAATGTATGATACATTTAAAATCTCTTGCTTTTTTGATTGCTGTCTTCTGGAAAATGGATGAAAGATTATACAATAGGATAGAAATACCTGCATTTGTTCAACTCTGGCCTAAAAGATTATAAAGATGTGTAAAGGGGTTATAACTCTTAGCGAGACACAAACACCCATTTGTATCTAGCAATATGACTCATTTATATTTAAGAATATCAATATTATACAAATTATATACTTTTTCATCATTACATTTCTGATGTTGATTTTTCCTGTGTCCTAGTTTTATGGTCTGTGATATTATTTGCGAGCGGTAATGGTTCACATGATTTTCTTTCATATTGGCTTTACTGAGAAGAGGAAAGCAAAGTGCTGTTTTAAAATCTCACTGTCAATAAACAATATAAGCAGACGGAAATATTTCATACAGGTGCATAAGCCATCACGTGCTTATGTAAAGGGTTTAATGGACTATAGCTACCCCATGGATAACCCCTGGAAGCCCACCTCCCTCCTTTGTGCATCTTATCCTGTCTCGTATCCTGTTCCACACCAAGGAATGTCACATCTCTTTTCCATATTGTTCGCCATGTCATGTAGTAAACCAGTGTTGTGACACGAATAAGTTGCCCAATAATAAATACATTTACTGCATGATAGAAAAACAATTCCAATGTTGTATTCCAAAGTTGAGTGCATATGTAACAAATGAGTCTGAGACATTTGTAAAAATGCCTATATTTGCATTTTTCTAATGTAATTTAGAGATATGTTTTCATTGCAAATTATAAAAGTTTGAGGATAAATTTGAGGATGTCTCAATATGGAAATCCACACCACAGCTATAATGATATTGACAGAGGAACCATATGATTGGAATCACCTTCCAGAACTATTTTGTTTTCCAGCTAATTCAATAATAATAATAGAAATATTGACAGCCAAGCGCAATCCATATGGTTTTAAACCATTCAAATGCAGCACACGCTTACAATAAAGAGAAAGTTATTGTCTGTTGGTGTTATGAACTGCTCCTGGACATGAAGATGAAGATCCAAATGCAGCTTTATTCAAGAATAGTCGTATAGGCAGGGTCAAGAATCAGCAGATAGGACAATGGAGAATACACAGAGGGAATCCAAGAAACAGGCAGAGGTCAGGGCAGGCAGCAATAATCAGAGTCCAAGAACAATCCAAAGTCAAAAACAGAAAACAAACACGGGAAAACGCTCAGAAATGCAGACACACAGTACAACAAGACTTCGCAATGAGTGGTATTTATGGCGTGAACATCTCAGGATAGTCACTATACTTAAGGACTTGTGCTGCATTCCAGACAACTTCACATTTTTCCCAACCTCCTACTTGAGAATCAAAATAAACCTTACCCCTGCTTGACGCGTGCGTCACTTGACTTTATGGCGGCGAACAACGATCATAGAGAGCTGGTTTATAGTGTAGTCCTGCAATAGGTTAACATTTTCAAGAGGGTTACCAGTCTTTATGTTTAGGGTTATGTGTTGGTCAGGAGAATATCAATTAAATTTAAACAATTAAAACAGTAAATCATTCCTGAAAGTTAATAATACAAATACAGAATTGAAAAATAAAAGTGTCCTAGGACTGGGGTTTTGCAGGATTGTGCGAATCGGTTGACTAGTGTGGAACATAAAAATACAGGAATTTGAAAACTAGTTAGCCTAATACCATTATATTTGAAATTAGATGGTTTAAAAGTTTTGGATAACAAATGACATTGCTTATATTTTGCTATAATTGGCAGAACATGAAATGGCCCCACCTTGTGGTGTGATTGACTGGAACGTACTGAGACTGAAAGTGGGACCTTTCTTCTGGGATATTCCCACTTCTGACTTTGATTTGGTGCCATCAGTCAATCAGTGTTGTCACTTCCATAACAACCAACAATATTGCCAAACTACAATTTGATCAAAAGTTTGTGTAGGTTACCAAGGAGATAACAGTGTTAGTGAAGAGCCTGCTTGAGATATGTGATATGCAAGGGGAAATAACTTGAAGTATTTCAAGCACAATTCAAGTATTTTGTACACAATCTCCTATCAGGCTGTCATTTTGTCATATTAATGTGAAAGTGATCATATAATTTCATTGTGTATTGAAGAAGGTTGTTTACACCACGCTCTCTGATCTTGTATGTTGCCCCGTTTTGGTAACATCAAGTACAACAATAATTCAGTTTAAAAAAAAGTTCAGTTTAGGAAACAAACACTTGTTGTAAAAGGATTCTGACATTTTATTTTTAAAAAAATGCTTAAAATGGCATTTCCACCGCCATAATTTCTACCCCAGAATACATTTGAAATCATGGTGGAAATGTGTGTTGTTTCAGAAAAAAATAAATAATTCAAGTGTGATTTTAGACATTTTATTTTCTAAAAGTACGATGGTTTCGGGAAACATCGACTGATAACAACGGAACTTGCGACTGCCATAGTTGGCTAACGATGCTTTCGGGAAACGCACCCCAGAACGTTTTTTTATTTTTTTTATTGAACATGTATAACAGCAAATACATATAGTTACAACTTAAAACAGAATTAAACAACAATAGAATTAGAAACAGGAGACAAAAAGCCAGTAAAATAAACAGACAAAACAGGTTTTATCATAGTTTTTGTCCAAGTCAAGTCAAATGGAGTTGGACAAAAACTACGATAAAACCTGTTGGAAAGCATCTTTTGCAGCGATTTTTGTGTGAGCATATCAGTGAACACCCCTGACCACTCGGTGAGTTTCACGTCTTTGTAAACTAAAGTTTAATGCGTTTTATGAAGGATTGTTCCAGTGCACCTGCAACCATTGTGGGGGGGGGGGGGGGGGGGGTGCGACCACAGAAACCAAAAATTCTCGGGACAGCAGCATGTGTCCAAATTTCAATCTTAACCGTTCTATTTCATCAGAAACGATCTTAAAACAAGGCTTTAAGTGTAAAATACCGAACTTGTCGTTTAAAACAATTACTCCAATAAGATATTCCAGAAGGGACAGTAATAATATCGTTCAGAAAAAGTTGTCTAATCTTTCTATTCCTGAGAGAGGGACTAGATAAGTCTCACAAGGATGTGTCCAAGAGGTAGAAGAGAGTAAAGAATCTGCTGAGTTTTTTTTTTTAAAGTGCAATAGCTCCACTGGGGATGGCATCCATCACTATGGCAAAGTCGTATATCGGATATCATGGTTATTCCAAATAAAATACCTGTGGCGACTACAATAATGTTTGGAAATCATGCCAGGCCAAAAGCACCTTATGGAAATTTGACAATTTGATGGGCAATTTAGAGATATATTATAATTACATACAGAAAGGGGAGACCACCAACTTTAGAAAAAAATATAATTGGGAATAGCATTCCATATGGAATCAGAATCATTCAAGAACTGATCTTAAACATATTTTTTAAAGAAGCAAAATCAAGAAAGTTAAAACCTCCATGTTCAAAGCTATTTATGACAACAGATTTTATGTAATGTCTCTTGTGTTTCCA